ATATAGCCACTTGCTACTCTCTTTTGGTTACAATTTGCATAGAGTATCTTTTTCTATCCCTTTGCTCTCAGCCTATGTGTGTCCTTAAATCTAAAGTGAATTTGTTGTAGACAGCATATAGTTGAGTGTTTAAAAAAAGTCTGTTTAGTCTTTCTATGCTTTTTGATTGAGGAATTTAAATAAAGTAATTTATAATAAGGAAATATTTATTGTTGCCATTTTGTTAATTTTTTCATTAGTCTTGTAATTCTTTACTTTTTATTTATCATTTGTGATTCATTGAGGGTACAAAGAATTCGGTTACACTGACTGCATTTGTTAGATACAGTCCCTATTGTAATGGTGTCTCACCTCCAAGAGGTGTGCCATACACTGTGATCCCCACTCCCAACTACCTTATTCCCCTACCCCACCTCTGTATTAGCTCTTTTATATTTATTGCTCTCCCTTGCTGTCATCTTTTGTATTTGTTTATATTTTTATGCATATGACTTGATTTCTTTTTCTTTCAATTCTGTCTAACTTCTATAGAGTTGTTGTTGTGGTGTGTGTGGTTACCTTGGAGTTTAAACAAATTCTTTTATTGCTGTAATAGTCTATATTGGGGCAATAATAACTTAAGATCAATTATAATTTGCACTTTAACTTCTCTCCTGATACAGTTTGTGTTGCTACAATTTACATCTATTTATATTGTGTATCTTTATTATTATTATTATTTTTTGAGACAGAGTCTCACTATGTTGCCCTTGGTAGAGTGCCATGGTGTCATAGCTCACATAGTCCACTCTCCAACTCTTGGGCTTAAGTGAGCCTCAGCCTCCCAAGTAGCTGAGACTACAGGTGCCTGCCACAATGCCTGGCTTTTTTTTTTTTTTTTTTTTTTTTTTTTGTAGTTGTTGTTTAGCTGGACCAGGCTGGGTTTGTACCCACTACTCTTGGTGTACATCGCTGGCACCATAACCACTACTGTGCTATGGGGGCCGAGCCAATATATTGTGAGGTCTTTTAAAATATTTTATAGTTATTTTTAATCATTTAGTCTTTTAAGTTTTTTATGCTAGAATTAAGACTATTATATTACAGTATACATTAGTCTTTATTTTCTATATATTTATCTTTCCCATGAATTTCAATTTTCTTATGCTATCATGTGCTCTGTAGTATCCTTTATTTCAACTTGAATAACTCAGGTGCTTTTTGTTGTTGTTGTTGTTGTTTGTTTGTTTGTTTGTGGTAAGGCAGGGCTAGTAGTGATGAGCTCCCTAACTTTTCTCTTTTCTTCTCTTTCTTTCTTTTGTTTTTTGTTATTTATTTATTTATTTTGCTCTGGGAAAGTCTTTATCTTTCCTTCATTTTTAAAGGATAATTTGCTTGGTATAATGTTCTTCATTAGCAGTTCTTTTATTTCAGCCTTTTGGATATATCATCTCATCCACTTCTGCTCTCAAAGTTGGTGCTAAAATGTTCCTTCTAATCTTATGGCAGTTCCTTTGCATTGGTAAATCACTTTTCTCTTCTTGCTCCAAGATACTGTCTTGACTTTGGACAGTTTCCTCAGGTCCTGATGTGGATTTCTTTGGTTCACCTTATTTGCTGTCTTTTAGATTTCTTGGATATTGAATTTCATTTTCTTTCCCAGCTTTGAGGAGCTTTTAGCCATCACCTTTCGGAATAAGCTTTCTGGGGCTTTCTGTCTCTGTTCTCTGCCCAAAACTCTGATAATGTTTATATTATTCTGTATTATGTGTCTTATCATAATTCCCTTAAACTTTCTTTTATCTTTTTCATCCTTTTTTTTTCCTTCTTGCTCATCTGATTGGATTATTTCCAGTGCTCTTTCTTCTTTGGGATCTAGTTTATTCTGAACTATTCTACTAAATTTTTCATGTCCAGTATTGCATTTTTCATAGCCATGATTTCTGTTTGATACTTCTTATATTTTCTAAATATAAGAATATCTTATGTGAATTGAAACATAAGATATTTTGTTTCACATCCATGATTTCTGTTTGATACTTCTTTTCTAATATTATATTTCTCTTTCTTATATTTTCTAAGCCTTGCTTGAAATTCTTACTTTATTCATGTACTGCTCTATTGACTTTGGTGAACATCCTTATAACATGTAGTTTGAATTCCCTGTCAGGTAAATCATATAACTGTTTCATTACAGTACATTTCTGAAAATTTATCTTGTTCCTTTGTTGAAATATCTCTGCTTGGTTCTTTATTTGTTTTTGTTTATTTGTTTGTTTGTTTGTTTGGCTATTTTGGTGTCTGTGCATTAGAAAAATTAGGCACCTCTTATAGACTTCACAGAGTGTATAGGAGAAGACCCTTACCAATTAATTCAGCCACAGATTTTTGGATGCCTACCAACTCTTTCCTTCCACAAAAAGAAGAAACCCACTCTGGTTTTGTCCTCTCACTCTTTGCTGAGATAAGACTGGAAGAGGCACTAT